TGCCCCTGCCCCCAACCCCCACCTCCCATTCTCCATCTGTGTTGCACTCTTTATTCAGGGCCCTGGGGCCTTCCTTTTTCCAACTGTTCTTTGGGCTTCCAGTAATTGCCTACTTAGTGTCTGTTTACCTTATGAGTCTCTGAGGCCTGGGTCTGTCATACCTGCCTTTCTGTGCCCAAAGAGTACTTGGCAGAGCACACAGAGGCACCCAACTATTGTTTGCTGCTTTACTGCTAATGCTGTGGTTCAGTTGTATGTCTGGGACTGGAAACTGTAACTGGTTAATTCACTATATATTCAGCCATCTTTTTATTATTCAAAAGCATTTTCAAAATGAAGTGAGTTACCAACGTGGGCTTTTTCATTACAAAATGATAGTTTTTAACAGTTTCGGGTGTGTTTTTTTTTACTTCTCCCATGTATCTTAATCTGCTGTCTTCTTAACTCCCTTTTAAGATAATTTTTCTAAAACTTTCTGAGTAGCTTGGCCGATTATGGTTACATTTGCAGAATCAGTACATTATTTAAGGGTTGAGATAATGATATTCATTTAAGAAACTATGGAAATGGATTTTGAAGATAATTTTTCTCCAAAATAGAAAATATATGGTGAATTGTAGATAAGAAGTGTTATTCTAAAGACACTACCATCAGGCTTAAAGAACATACCTGTTTAAGGTGGAAATGCTCAGGCCAATGGAGAGAGCCCTTCTGAACACACACATTCATAACAGGGGGCCCAGGGAACCCTGTTTCCTAAGGAGAAGTTCCTTCAGGAGGAACACCTTCATCAAAGGACTTCTTTGCAGAGGTGTTTACTTGGGAGGAGTACAAACTCAAGCACCATGTGAAGTGATATGTGCCACTCATGCCATGGAGGATATGGGGAACTCTTAGATTTGGCTTCAAGTCTTCAATTACGTGCAAAAGACTGACCTATCAGACTTATTCGTGTCCTACACCAGTCGGTGCCAATTCTAGCCAACATTCCTCTAGGAAGCTGATAAGGCAAATAGTTGAAAAAACCTACACACAGAGGTAAACTTTTAATAGTAGATTGAATATATTGCTACAGATCTCTTTAAAAGAATTTCTGGAACCCTTCCTGGAAAATTCAAAAATGTTTTCATTTTCTCATGGGTGTTAGACCTAGCGGTTTCTGCTGAACAGTGACCTTTTCACCTGCCTTCTTCTGTGTGTGTATGAACAGTACACAGGGCTTGTCCAAGGTTGGAGCTTTATTGGTTAAAGATCAAATACTTTTTAAAGAATGCATGTATGCATCGATTCAGAAGACGAATCAATCTAGACCTAAGGCAGTGGCCAATCTCCTGAATGCTAATTAGGGGCTGTCTCGCTGTGGGTATGGAAGTGCGCGTGAGGGTGGAGATGAGTAAGTAAAGGAAAAAGTGAATATATTTTCAGAAATGATGATTATAATCCTTCAGTCAGAAAGCTGGACATTTTGAAAATAAGAATGAACAGACTGCCATTCTTCAGCTCATCATGGCACTAGCGGTTTAGATGAAATGGAAGCTGGAAACAGTGTCCGAGAGCCTGGCTCTGCACCCTCTTCAGGACCCCTCCTGCCACCACTGCTTTAGGCGCCACCTTATGACAGCAGAGACTATCGACTCTTCTTATCTTCACTGAATCCAAGTTTACGCACAATATGAGAGAAATCCTACTCATACAGCATTAGAACAACCGATTTATACATTTCTAATTATACTACAGTCCTATTGAAGCCAGACCTCAAACCTTTGGTAGCCTTCCCAGAACCTAGTGTGGTGCAAGAACACAAAATATGTCCACCAATACCATATTGATGGCTATTTCATAGGTCAGAATCACTGACATCAATGGTTAGCATTTAGAATACTTCCATAAATGAATTTATATTTTAGATAACTTTGTCCTTAATTTTTTCTAATGTAGATTTCTCCAAGAGGTTTATTATGGAAACTTTCATTTTCATACTGTAATGTAAATGTTTTAAATAATATTTAATGTATATTAGTTCTGAAACTGTTGAAAAAAAACCACAGCATTTTTCTTTATCTTGTTGTATATAAAATGAATCCTACTTGAAAAGTCTGTTAGTTCATGCAAGTTCACATTCAAAGCCAGTCTAGATGCAAGAAAGAACCACACATTGAAATGAAAAACAAGAGTCTGATAAAATGCATGATTAAGGCTTATAAGCACAAGCTTATATTTTTTGTGGGGTTTTTCCTTATGAAGAATTTAAACTATGCTTAAATTCTTAAAAATGAAACTAAATTTGAATAACACTGATAATGAAGTTATTGTCTCATCTTCCACATAAAAAAAGTAATAAATTCTATTTTTCATATAAATGCAGTCTTGTAAGATTAACTTACTTTTACATCAGAATAGTCAAAGACTGTATCAAAATTTTTATTACATCAATATTCATTTTAAAGCCTGGGTAGAATAGTTAAAACACTATTAGAACCACCTCCTGAATTAAATTATGCCTTCTACAATAGTTATAAATTATACTAGGGCTGTGGGGAGATCTTTAAAATGTATACCCAATTACCAACAGGATTCTACCCCCCCACCCCCCCCCAAAAAACACCCAAAAGACCCAAGATATGAACACAGTTCTATCTATTTTATAAAAATTAGTACTACATCTAATTTCCATATTCAACATGTAATTACATCCAGACTTTTAGAAATAGGGTAGTCCATTTAGAAGAAAAATGTATGTCTAAAGGCAACAAAGCCAACCGCCATAAAGAAAAAGACTTGGTACCCTATATAAAATCTAAAAATAAAAAAATAAAAACAACAACGACAACAAAATACACACAAGGAACATAAACAGCATAGTTATAATTATTCCTATATAAAGAGCTCCTACAAATAAACAAAATGAAGATGACTATTTCAATAAAATATAAAGGTCAAAAAAGATTGATGACCAACTCACAAAAATGCTGATGGACATTAAAACTATAAAAAGAAACCTGAATTTAATAGGGATGCAAATTAGAAAAAGGAGACTTCATTTTTAAAAATTGTTAAATAAGCAAATATATTGGGGGCTGGAAAAGAATGCAGTCTTTTGATGACAGGCAAATTCTTGCACTGCCAGTGAGAATATAACCATTTCTGTGATAATTTTCCTTAGGTTATAAGCAAATAAATGCAAAGATATATTAATAAGAATTATCAGCTCAGTATTTGTTTTTTGTTAAATAAAACTTGGAAACAAGATAATTCTCAATAATAAAGAACTGGAGAACATACACACGCATAGGAATACACAGAGGAAGATGCCATAGATGTCAACATGTGTGCAGATATTTATGTATGTACATATATTTCTTGGTTAATTAATGTAGTCTCAGAAATTCAAATTTATATATATTTTAGATACTAATGAAGTATTACATATTTAAATATTATGCATTCATTTGATATATAATTTGACCTCATGCATTTGTAATTAGAGGTTTATCTATAATCACTATAAATTTTATCTTGTTCCATAACTGCATTTGCCTTATGCTCAATAATACACATCACAAGATAATTTCTATGACAGCCATTCTATGTTACAGTATTTTGATGATACAAATGTAAAAGTTCTTTGTTTCACCAAAAACTTTCATAGAATAAAATAAGAGTAAATGAAATTGTTGCCATTTTAAAGACAGATGATATTTTAGTTAGAATAGCATTATCTCTAAAACCAAAGAATTAAAGTCCCTTGCCTATTCTTACTGTAATATTTATGGTTTCATCAAAGAACAAACAAGTCCATTGCCTCACCTATCATATGCATTATTACCCTGTCCACAGATGAGAGCATTTTCTAAATAAACTTTAAATCTAAAAAGCAAAATGGATAGCATAATAATATTCTGATACAGGCTAGCAGACATAATCAGTGTAACCGAACCTTTGCATTTTTACTGAATAAATTTTAAAGAGCCTATGATTTTTCCTGGACTCTTTAAAAGGTAAAAAGATTTATTCCAGAGGAAAACTAATCCAAAGACTGGTAGACAATTTTTTGTTGTTGCAGGAAAAATCAATTGAAATTCAAATGTTAAAGTACCTTCTCCAAACTACATAATTCAAATGAAATTAACTAAAAAAAAAATCTGGAGATGATAAAATATGCATCTGTTTGAGTACCTACCACACATAAAGATGATTAATTTGCAATGATAACCAGTGACCCTGCCTTTCTGAATAATTTGAACCCATCCCTGGCCCTTAAATTTCTTTAAATTAGATTCTTGCCATGCAAGTTTTCTTTAGATGTATGTGATTTTAATGATTCACTTTCAATATAACATCTACAGTTCTTCCATCTTAACAAAACGATTTTAGCAACACATCTGAATTTGCTCTTGGATACCCTGTCATCTCAAATGACAACTGACTTTTCCATTGAGGTTCATGTTTTTATGCAACTTATCTCATTCATTTCTTCATTTATTTTCCCCAGATAATATATTTTGGAACCTCTCATTTGTGTGTTTTTTAACACATTTGTTAAATAATAACTTTTGGTAGGTTTCAATTGTATCACTGAAGTAATTAGACTAAAGGTGATGAATCTGGATTTTAATCAATGAGCAAGTATTCAAACACTGCATTTAACCCCTATGCGATCAATCAAAGCAGAGCAAGGATACAAGTGGAGTACTGAGATTGCATTTTCCCACCAGAAAGCATAGGAAGCAATTCAGTGATAAGCATTTAAAGCACCATGCTGATATATTTTGAAGAATACAATGTAAACTCATCTCGAGCCATTAACTTACCCAAGACTGTGAGCTCTGCAGAGGCACTAATGTTCTCATTTTTATATGTGACAACACAGGTGTAAGTTCCACTGTCATCATCTGTCACATTTGAGATAAGCAAGTTGCTTCCACCCAATAGTGAATACTTTTTGGACCTGTAAGACATAAGGCACATACAATTAGGGAGTAAATTAACATACGTGTATATCAGCAAGATACTCAAGGGTTTAAATGAACTCCACGAAAGCTGAAATTATAAAACTGAAAAGAAATTCTATATTGTGGGGTCTTGATAATATTGCACTTATTGGTCAGAAATTCATTCCAGGTAAACTATGCCCACTGGAAGTCTGTGTGTAGTGATCAAAGAACTGAAGTAGATTAAACTTGAAACTAATTGTCAGTACTGAGAAAAAAAATTATAGATAATCTGGTCCAGTTCTTTCATTCTGAATTTGGAAACTTCAAGGTCCAGAGAAAGTGTTCCCACAGTGGAAGTCAATGTCCTGTGGCCTGCCATCCATCTTAGTAACCTTTGTACAAAACCATGTTTCACACTGCACCAAGGATGCCTGGTTATGTTCAGGGCACACATCTTGACACGCTGAAGATGGAAATGGATTTCCCGAATGCTTTAATATTCTCAGATGGACTGTGATCCCGTACCACTTATTGTTGTTATATAAGTAAAGGTTTAAGGAAAATTAAATTTAAAGATTAACTTCTTGTCTGTGAACCTATCTCACCGTAGAAAATAAATGTGTTGAAAAGGAGCACGCCAAACCTCAGAATCAATGAAATTAATTTCTTAAGTGAAACCCATTTAATCAAAATGTTTCGGACTAAATGTCCCATTCTATTAAGAGTTTACTTTCTAACTATGCCTTAACATTAATGTCCAGTAATTCAAAGCCAGCCAAGTTCTGCCTTATCTGAAATATTTGTTCTAAAGAAGATGATGAGAGATATAATTGGAGCTAACAGAAGTCACACAGACCCACTATATTTGAATGCTATATTTTGAATTCAAGAAATTTTGGTTTCTTAAGAAGTATTTATTTCACTCTCTATACTAGTTCCTTACGATGAGATCCTTCAGAGTATCTTTGCTGAAGACACTTTGGGCAGGATCACCTCAATGGCAACCCTGGCTTTTAATATTTCCTTTCAGAATTGATCCCATAGATTTTGACCATTCCCCAACCCTTTACCCACGTGGGTAAATGTCTTTCATATACTGTATAACATCAAGGGATGTGGAAAAACATTCAATAATTATCACACACCCTAATATTTGTAGGTACTTATATCCAGTTAGAAAAAGATACACAGTAACACACACTTCAGGAGAGCCTTAAATTTCCAAGACCTGAGTTGGACGACTTCCTCTCCTCGTAACCAGGTGAAACTCGGGGGAGGGTGGCCCGAAACGCAGCACTCCAGGACGGCATCTTTTCCTTCCACGGCTATGACGTTGGAAGGTCTCTGCAGAAAATAAAGCTGTCTATGCAGCCCTGGATCTGTGGGGAAAAACACAGGATCACATCTTTTATGAAAAACATTGCCAAGGTAAATAATGTAGCTCAGATCTCC